TTATTTATGAATAAAGCATGAAACCGTCGGGACAGTGTCAAGATATTTTGAGCTGGACTCTGCAAATTACTTGTCTTTTAGATGGCTGTCATGGTCAAAGAAGGAAAGATAGAACGTGATGGAAAAATAGGCAAGTCTAGGAAAGGTAACCTTGGGAAACTGGAGCTGAGCAACAAGGTGAGGTCAGAAATATCAAGGGAATCAGGGAGAAGGAAGGTCTTCTCACATACTGTTGTGACTTAAAGGGATGATCTCAGTGTTTTAGGAAAAGTACCCAAGTGAAGCTTTTTATTTTATTGTATTTTATGATCAAAGTGAGAGGACTGGTAATTCACAGGACATTCATATTATAAGACATGGAGAACACCCTTTTACCAGCTTTTAAATCATAGCTATGCTGATGATTCACTGAACAATTTGTGTTATCCATTCAGTCAATCACTTAACAAATATATCCCTCTTATATTACAAGACCTGTACTGGGTGACAGAGATGCTTTTGAGGATTCGCTCTCGTTTGGGATAATACAGAGGTACAATGAACTATAATACGTGTGATAATGACGAGGACATTTGCAGTAGTAATTATTCAGCTTTTCATTTAGCAACATACGAAGTCAGCTGCCTGTAATGCGCCTTAATTAATCTTCACAGAATCTATGCGCTCATAAAAGTCATTTTCCACACGAGGGAAATATTTTAGAGATGTTCGGTATCTAGCCCAATAGTGCCCAGGTAGCAAGGTGAAAAGCTAGTGTTAAAACCTAGACCTTATCTAATTCAAATGGTTTTGAAAGAATTGCAAGGTCTCAGTCCTCACACACGGGCTCGATTAGGGAATAAGAAGAGGTTCCCATTGGAGAGGGGAGATGTGCAGTTGCCGCGGTAGCTTAGAGGAGAGGAGACAAAGGCTGAAGCAATGACGATGGGCATGTTCAGGTGTGTGTCATTTTGACATGGACTCTACAGATTTACTGAGCGTCTGTGCTAGCTGCAGGGAACTGAGCCCAAAGTCTTATTCTTCTGCCAAGCTCTCCAGCCTGTCAGGGCTTCTCTCCCGCATGAGGAAGCTGACCACGTGGATCAGCTGTGAGTTGCTTCTAACTTTGGCTTTCCCATCACCTGTATCACCTAAAACAAATATACTCTATAAGCTTCCCCCAATAGCCAACATTTCATATGGATGTTTTAAGTATTTTTATTCTTTAGAATATCATACATTGGTATAATGCAATATGATCATATCTACCCCTTTCCCCACCAACCTTTTCTTTGCCCAACTTCATGTCTGTCTGCCTTTCTTTTCTGCTACTGTGCTAAGTCTAATTACTGCTGTCTATATGTGCATGGGTGTGGAGTCATTCACAGAAGACAGTGGCACACCCTACAAATAGAAACTCTATCTTTCACTTGCCAATAGCTTCTCATTAAGGCCGTCCTCAACTTCCACCAAGAAGGGTCCCCCAAACCCACCTACCCGCCACTTCGCAGTGGGAGGTAGTCGGTGAATAGATGCACAGTTCATCAAACTGCTAAGAATAAGGTATTGAATAGTCAGCGCTAATCTGGATAGCTTCACTAACACCAACCCAGCCTTGGGAACGTTGTGTCAGGAGAGGCAGATAGATTGCTAGAGGTGGTGATGGAGAGGAGGGCTGTGAAATGCCATCTTCTACACGAGACGTGGCGATCACACTCATGGACCCACAGCAGGTGTGGTTACCTGCTCAAGGTCACTGCTCAAGGTTACCTGCACAAGGTCAAAGCAGCCAGCATTGTGGCACAGAGGAGGGGTGCTCTGCAGCCCGCCCCCCTTTTAACTGAGGCACGCTGATCATCCCACTCTGCAGTCTGCAGTCACAGGGAATTTGCACTCTATATTCTAATTTTGGTCTGCACAGATTCCAGCTATGCTTGTCAGCACTAGTTTCCCTGTGCGGGTTCTGTAGCATGAAATCAAATCAAGGATTCAAAAGGTACACATAAACAATGCTTGAATCAGTCGATTTAGAGACCAGAGTGGTAGCTACGGATTGGGTCTCTAGTTGCTAGTTGTTCTGAATTGTATTTAACCTACTAAAGGCAACAATAAGACACATAAAACGGTCTTTGTTGAAAACTATATAATAAAAATACATTTTTAGAAGTCATTCATGACATGTCCCTCAATGACCTGATAGTCTTCTCAGTAACCATAGCTAGAAAAGGCTGAATGAATTTTCTCCCAATGCCAAAAATAAAATAAAATAAAATAATAAAACACAAAACAAACAATTGTTTACCATATGATGGTTGTCCATGCAGCATTGTGCTAAGGTGCTGGGAAACATTTGCCAAAGCTAATAGTAAAAAAAAAAAAAAAAAAAAAAAAAAGTGGAGACCCCCTTAAAAATATTTTTTGTTTTCTTTCTTGCCCTTTCTTTCTTTCTTTCTTTCTTTCTTTCTTTCTTTCTTTCTTTCTTTCTTTCTTTCTTTCTTTCTTTCTTTTCTTCTTTCTTTCTTTCTTTCTTTCTTTCTTTCTTTCTTTCCTTTCTTTCTTTCTTTCTTTCTTTCCTTTCTTTCTTTCTTTCTTTTTCTCTTTTTTCTTTCTTTTTCTCTTTTTTCTTTCTTTCTTTTTTTCTTTCTCTTTCTTTCTCTCCCCCCACCTTTCTTTTTCTTTCTTATTTTTTTGAGACAGGGTTTCTCTGTGTAATAACCCTAGCTGTCTTGGACAGCTAGGCTGTGCTTGAACTCAGAGTTCCAAGCTTGTGCCACCATGCCCAACAGGCAGATTTACTTTCTATTGTTAGAGTTACTGATGGAGAAATGCACATTTGCTTTCTTTATGCCAAACTGAAACATCCTTTTGAAAACAATGACAATAATGTAAACCATACACGGTGATCCTCCCCAATCTAAAAATCTCTGAACTGAAAATGCTCCAAAATATGAAAGTTTTTGAGCACTGACATAATGCTCCAAAAGATTTGGGTTTTGCAGGATCTTGGGGTTGTTTTTTTTTGTTTGTTTGTTTTTGTTTTGTTTTGTTTTGTTTGCTTTTGATTTGGCATACTCAACCAGTACTGTGTACATAAATATTCCAAAATTAAAAAAAAAAAACAACTCTAAAATCTGAAATGATTCTGATCCCAAGAGTTTTATATAGGGATAGTAAATTTGCCAAAAAGAAATTGCTAATGATAACAATAGCAATAGACTCAAAAACAAGGCTCACTCGGACCCAAGCACATTTCATGGTACTTCATATATGTCATCATATATTAAAGGTAGAAACAGTAATACAAAAATCCTAATGTCAACATTCTGAAGAGGTTTTATTTTCTTGTTTTGAATTAAGTGTTTGTGTTCTGAAGGCCGGCCTTGAACTCAGCTGTGTTGTGGAAGATAATGTTCAACTTCCTAGCTCCACCTCTCACATGCTGGAACTATAAGTATGAGCTCTCTCAAGTGCTGGGACTCTGGGTGTGAGCTACCACTCCTGGCCTGTATGGTCCTAGAGACTGAACGAACCCAGAGCATCATGCATGTTAGGCAAACACTCTTCCAACTGAACTATTACTCAACCTTATTAAATATAAAATATAAAGTATAAAATTTCCATTTTATAAACCAGAAGCTAAAACAAGGAAAGATAGATGAGTAGAGAGAGAAGGCTTGTAACCAGGCAGTGCCTATGGCTGTGACCTTAGACAGCAGTATAAGAAGAATGATAGTTGACTTCACATAATGAGCCACTTTCCCTGATAATGTGAACAATCCTGGGTGAAGAAGCAAATTCGTTTTACAAGCACCAAGTAAAGTACTGTAAGGTTGTATAAACACAACCCACAACAGTGCTCATTGGGAAAGCAAAACACTCAAACACAAAGAACTCTGGAGAGCTCTATAAACTGCAAGGCAAAGACAAGAAAAGCAATTTAAAAATCCTGGTTGCCCAGGAGGGAAATCAGGCCTGGCACGAGAAACCTAGCCAACCTCCCGGGGGTAGTGAGGTCATGGACCTTGGATGAGAGCTAACCAGCCACATTGCTAGACCAGCACAATTCCTAACCGCATTCTAGGTCTTATCTTATGCTCACAAAGAAGTGTAGCTAACACTCCCTCACCAAAGAAGCTTCTCTGGGCAGCAAGTAGAGACTGTTGCAGGGAGCCACAACTGGGTGCGATGCAGATATTAACAAACTGTGGTGAGCCAGACCCATGTATACGTCGATAGCACAGTTCCTGACTCTCTGACTCAGGGACCATTAAGGAAGAGAAGGCAGAGGATTGTGGGAGCCAGCATATCAAGAAGTCTAGTGTAAAACCATCTCCCCTAGAAACGCCTGCGTAAACGAGACCATAACATTTGGCAATATCAGTAGATAAGGAATTACAGCCTTTGACTGGTGAGAGAGGGAGAACTGAATTGACTTCTCCAAGGGATGCGAGTTCTCATTGATTGTTCATTACAGAGGGATTAGTCTTGAAACCATATACACAGACGGAAAAAAAATGCCTCTGCCTGCAAACAGATACATCTATTGTCTCTATGTGTGTGTGCGCCTGTGCATGCACATGCACACACGTGAATAGCAACAATTAACCAGGATGAGGAAGTTATCAATTTGAGAGGGGGCATATAAAAATGTTACAAAAAGGTGACCTGGAAGAGGACAGAGGTAGGAGAGTGAAGGCGGCGGCGATGTAATAACATGCTTAAAAATTAAAAACAAAAAAAGAAATGAACAAAATCCTGATGCAGAAGAGTATTAGAAGCCTCTAGGATTATTTGGACGTCTCTGGTTTTCAGCAAAGTTCTTGTATCTTATGTAGAAAACAGGTGAAAGAAATAGTTAATTCATGTTTGAATTGAAATGTGTCTCATTACACAGTTCTACTTTTCTTGGTATTTCCTGCAAAAAAAAAAAAAAAAAAAAAACCAGAACAACCAAAATCCATCACATAAAATAATGCCAAGTTTAAATACATAAAACAATCTATTTTTCATTAGGAAAATACCTCAGTGGGTTTTTCATTTTGTACGGCGTTGGTAGCCTTGTCTCTTCACCATTCACAGCGTCTCTGCTTTCCAAGTTCAGGGTGGGGTCCTGGAATGAAGCAAAGTTACAGGATGTAGATGCTGCACACAGAGAACTGAAGCTCTGAGAGAAATGTTTCAACCGGGGGAGGGCTCAGCTTCAGTCTGGACATCGCCAGTTTGCTCCTGTTTCCTTAAGACTGGAAATAGGTGTTAATCTCAGTGCTTTCACTATTTGGCCTCTGAAATGCTCAAACGAGCCATTTGCACAAGGCTATATGTGAAAAACTGGACAACACATCCCTTAACTTCCTGCTTGGGCTTGGGGATTGTATTTTATTTATTTTTTCTATTTAATGGATTTATTTATTTATTTGATGGGTTTATTTATTTATTTATTTTTACAATTTATTCATTATATACCCGGATTGAAGCCCCCCTCCCTCAATTCCTTCCAGCCCCAACCTACCTCCCTCTACCCCACATCCCCTTCCAGTGTGGAAACAAATACTGAAAGAAGCTTCCAGTGCCAAGTTTTAATGACCTCTACATGCTTGCACTTCCACAACACAGTAAAATGCACGAAAAAAAAAAAAAATGAGAAAACTGTTTGTTGCCTGGCTGTCTTGGAACTCACTCTATAGACCAGGCTGGTTTTGAACTCAGAGATCCACCTCTGCTTTCTGAATGCTGGCATTAAAGGCATGCACTGTGACCATGCCCAGCTCTCTTGATTTATTTTAACATGCATTTCTTAGATTTTCATTTTCTTTTTTGTGTGGGTGTTTTGTGCTCTCAGAGGTCAGCAGAAGGCCTTGGTTCCCTTAGAACTGAAAGGGGATGATTGTGAACCATCAAGTGGGTGCTGGGAAACAAACCCAGGCCTTGGTGTTTTTAACCTGTAGGCCATCTTCCGAAACTCCACAAACTGATTTCTTTTTTTTTTTTTTCTTTTTAAACATATTGTTCATTTTAAATGGATAGCAACATTTCAAACAAGGGAATGCATTTTTGTGAAAGGTATATTTCTTAATTCAATTTTCTGGTCTCCGCATAGATAAATAAAAGGAAGAAAATCTCTAAGGCTAAAGAACCCTTAATAGTGTTAGGGTTAAGGCACCTTTAAAAAGATAAATTTCTGAAAGTTTTGATGTTCATATGACTTTTAGGAAGGGCTTGGTAAGTTCATACAGAACAAATAAGGCAAGGTTGGGCAAGTTTAAAAAATACCTAGACAGAAAGATTTAACAGAATGCTTGAGCCTGTGATGATCACGCATATCAAGATATTTGATAAGCACATTTATGCCCAAATCGTTAGCTTTTTACCCATGCATAAGAGAGGGAACCTGTGTGTGGTCCTAGAGGCAGCCAGATCCTACTGTATTGTCTTTTAAATGCTATATAAGAAACTACCCCAATATGTTATGGGTTAAAAACAAACATTGCATTGTTTCTTCTAGTTTCTGGGAAGTTCTGGGGTGAGGTTGGAAACCCGGCATCTGCAGGACTGAAACTGCAGTCCTCTAAGCCCAGCGATGCTGCAGCCTGGCTGGAGCATCAGCAAAAATGAACGATCCCATCATTATTGTTTTCAGCTCTGCTCACATAACTTTGACCATCCTCCTGCCAGCCCCGGACAGCTCTACCTACCTCACATTTGCATTAAGTTTTGAAATCACAGTATGTGTTTCTTTCATATTTGTTTTCCTTTTCCATATGGGCTCAACAGTCTGGGCCTCTTATATTTCCACAGTAATTTCAGAACCGGCATGTCTGTCAAATTCCACCTACGCTGAGTATTTGGTAGAGAACACACTTGATCTATACATCATCATTCCATCCTAATGATAAACATCCCTCCAATCCATGAACATTTAACAGTGGCAGTTAGTTAAAACATTTTTCCTTTCAGAGCTAACTCTAATTAGATACATATACATATCACCAGAATGCTAAAGAAAAAGAGAGTACTTAGTATGAGGTTTCAGCTCTCTGCCTTGTTTGTTCTCTCTCTGTTCCATGTGGAACTTTGTTACTGAGCCCCAACTATGGCAGGAGAAGAATATACTTTTTGGCTCTAGTTAAATTCTTGGAGGTTAAGGAGTTTCCTATCTAGTTTTAGTTATATGACAAGTAAAGTCTGTATTTACATCAACACTGTACTTGATGTGCTATGTATTTGAAAATGTCAATTACAATTTTAAGTTAATACGGAGCCAATTGCAGTGTGATAATCTGATAAGGGGAAAGCTCGGCTGCCTACGCTTCGAGAGTGATCATGTCAACAACTACACACTTAAAGAGGATACACATCCTGCGGCAGACATGCTTGGCAGCTAAGAGTGCTGCTGCTCTTGGAGCGGATCTGAGGAATCTGATACTCTTTTCTAGACTTAGGTGCACTTGTACTCACGCACGCACATTCCCACATTCCCACACACACAAGTCATTAAAAATAATAAGATAAAATTCACTGAAATGCATATCTAAGGCTTAAAAGCTACCATTCACATATAAAAGAAAACATGCAATGTTTGTCTTTCTGGGTCTGGGTTACCTCTTTCAGCATGATTTTTTTTTTCTTTTGCGTCATCCATTTAATATGAAAATTATTTATCTTAACACCTGAATGATATTCCTGTATATAAATGTACCATATTTTCACTATTTATTTATCAGTTGATGGACATTCTAGGCTGGTCCCAATATGGATGAACACATATGAATACGGATGAGCAAGTATCTCTCAAGTATGATGTAGAATCCTTTTGTTATATGTTCAAGAGTTGATTATACATTTCTGGATCTTGTGGTAAATTTATTTCTAGGTTTTTGACCCCCCCCCCACTGAATCTCATGGTTGCTTTATCAGTTTGCACTAACTTTAATGAATAAATATCCTCCCTTCTCCACATTTTCCCCAGCACGAGCTGCCATTTGTTTTATTAATCTTGGCCATTCTGACAGGGTAAAATGAAATCTCAAAGTGTTTTCAACTTGCATTTTCCTGAAAGCTAAGGTTGTTGAATGGTTTTTAAGTGTTTCTCAGCCATTTGTGTTTCATCTTATGAGAATTCTCTTAGTTCTAGACACTTTTTTTAAGTTATTTGTTTTCATGATGTTCATGTTTTTCAAGTTCTTTGTATATTTTAGATACTAATCCTATGTCTGATTCACAATAGGTAAAGGTTTTTTCCCATTCTGTAAGATACTTCTTTGCTCAAATGATGGCGTCTTTTGCAAGAAATAAATGTACAGCCATAGGCTTTATGTCTTAGACGGTAGAACCATTACTTTAAAAGTAGCATCAAAAAACCTCTTTGCCTTGCTGCAGCTATCATAAAGAGGCAGAAACTATAGTGTATCACCTCAGCTAACAGGCAGTGTTTGTTACTTGCCAAAATCACTTCTGTATATTGCAATAACAGAATCCTCTAGTATTCTCTAGGGATGAGGCAGGAAGGCCGACTCTGGAGTCAGTCCATGAAGACATAAACCCAGCTCCAAATTGACTCCGACAACAGTCAAGCACGGCAGTGCTTCAAAATGCAGGACAAAGACAGGTGTCTCTTATCAGGTAATACAAAAAGTGTTTTACCCTCAAATTTCAAAATAATCGACCAAAAAATGATTAAAGCACACCTCAGCTTCTCTTTCAGTATATTACACGCTTAAATGAGGAGTCACGAACTCACACCTATCTAAAAATGAAAACGAGAAATTTCCCCCTCGTAGTTTATTTAAATAACTTGGAGGGGAAAAAAAATCTGTAAAAATCTTGACTTTTAAATTTGGAAGGAGAGGTACGGAAATAACTCCGATTATGGAACGCCTAAAGGTCGACATAACGGGTGCTAAACAGCCTTCATATTTCTTAGGCAGGGTGGAGAAATAGGAATTATGGGATTTAAGAATCCTGAAACCTGCCTCTAGAAGTAGAAACACAATGCTTTGGAGGGCCTGCATTTAATTTTTAAAAGAAAAGCATTGCGACTTCTATTTTTAGTGGCATATTAAAAAATTGTGGGTTGGGATGAGCTGCTCTGTGGTATGCTGTTGTAAAGCCTGTCTTCTTTCCCCCACCTTCCCATCCTTTCCTTCCCAGCCACCAAGCCAGGCTACTCCAAGAACACTCTTCACAGCTTCTATCACATCAGGCAACATCTACGCGGCCCTCGCAGAAAGACAAGCTTAATTACTACATTTAAAAAAAAAAAAGAGTGAACATTTTTAGCAATACTTCCAGGATCGTGGGAGCATTAATGACAGCCAGAATGCATTGGATTTAAACAGCACCGCACTATTTTTAGCTTTAAAAATCAACACTTACACAAATATTCCCAAACCAATTAGCAGCAGCTGGAAAGTAAAGGTGTTTACGTTTCGTTACCACTGGTGCTAACTACAGCAAGTGCTCACAGGCTGCCAGAGAGAGGCCAAGCTCCTGGAGGACAACTGTCTCTTCAGGGGTCATCACAGCGTTGGCACCAGGCTATCACTCTGTCTTCACAGTTTGTACAAATGGCTGATTCCATACGGGAGAGAGTACGTTACTTACTATGAAGTGCCCCTAAAACAGGCATCTCACTCTTGATGAGGGGGAAAAAAGAAAAAAGTCAGAAGAAAAGACTACCTAAATTCTCAGTGTGTTCCCCTGGTTGGCTGTAACTGCAAAACAGTGTTATTGGTTTCTCATTTCTAAGAGGAGAGCTTTAGCAGTTTTCTTTCTTTCTCCCCTCCCCCCCCCCACCAACCCACACAGGTTTCTCAGTGTAGCCATGGTTATCCTTTATAGACCAGGCTGACTTCCAACTTACAGGGAGGGACTCACCTACCTCTGCCTCCCCAGTGCCAGGATCAAAGGTGTGCATCACCACGCCCAGCTGCAGGTTTATCAATAGACACTTCTCTGTGACTCATAGGTGCAGGAAACAGGGTTTTGGGGTTTTTTTTTGCCCCACCCCCATATTTTTAACCATTTGCCCATAAAATTTGAACTACAACTGAGTTATGTTTCAAAACCTCCAGTGCATTTTAAGAGAAGATTTGCATTCTGAAAAGCCAGTCA